CCACTACAGATTCGTGGTAAGTGACTATAGCGCGCCTTTCTCTTTCTGAACTTGTAAACTTTACTTGGTAACTGTGCACAAATCCCTTAGTCAACCGTTGACCAGGTCTGGGACTAGGACTGGATTCAGCCGCATCCAGACTCCTCTCAGAAGGAGTTTGGAAAGCAAGGGGGTCCAGTCTGAACCTCGTGACCCAACGGGAGGGTGTCCTTGGTAATTCTGTGTATATCTTGAACCTCCATGCAGTAACTAATAAGTGACCTTGCCATAGAATCTCGTGAAACCATTGTCATTACCAATAAAACCTATTCCTATTTCTTTCCCACGAGTGAAGTGCATTGTGTCACTCACCCCCCGCCCCACCACTCGTTCCGTGACAGGCATAGACTTAGCATCCAGGACTTTGGAAGATGGAAAAGTATGATAGATCTAGACCCACACCTGTAAGTGGCCAGGCATTGGAGGTGTTTGGATTTGATATTTGAATACTATGTGTTAAATCTGAATATAGTGAATATATGGTTGCCTCCTTGGCTAAATAAAAAAGAAGACTTGATTTTCTGTGCTTTGCCTGTTTCAAAAACAAAGCAATGAAACATCCTGTTACTGTAATCTCTTAAGTTATATGATGCATGGAAGTCCTCCTTCCTTAAACACAAGTTGCAACAAAAGGTGCTGAGTCCAGTTGCTTTCTAGGAATTGAATTCTGATCAGGTCCTTGTGCTTCATGCTGTAGTCAACAGCCTTGGTCCTCTGCATCTTATCAGGGCTTTACACAAGTCTAATTGCTTGAACCTACTTCCCTCCTGTTACAACTCCCTCTGACCCTAGTTCTGGAGCACGACATCTGAGAAATGTTTGGTTTGAGGCTCTCCATCAGCCACTGTACACTAACCTTTTGTTTGTGTACTTGCTGTTCTCTGAAGCACAGAGGCGCTTCAGCTGTTCCCTTGCTAAACAAAGGCAGGCGTTTTAACTGAGCAAAATGCTTTATGACTCTGGGCATGATTACTCCATGTACTGTTAGGCTCTTTCCTCTGTGGAGATTCGTGTTGGGATCTTAAACCTCTCTGATGCCTTGCAGGCAATCCGTTAACATCAGTATCCCCTAATTGGCCAGCCATACCATTATTCATAGAATAGGGTTCCCTTCCTAACTCTGCAGCTACCAATCCCTTCATTTCTTAAATATATAATCATCTGCATTATCAGCTGTGGAGTATGTTACCCTGCTACATAATTTTGACTGTATAATGAGCTCTGCATGTGTGAATGACATTCAAAAAATATGTGAATATTGATGTTGCACTTACTGCAGTGTATGAGCTGATCTGGTTAGACACAAAATGCAGACAGAAAACTGCCTCACCTCTCAAGCTAATTTTAGTCTCTCCCTGTCTGCTCTCTAGCTGTGTGCATATAAAATCACTCGCAATCTGACAGTGTTCCGGTAACCTGTGCCATGCACAGAGCAGGATGTACTTACTAACCATCTGCTTGCATGGCATGGGTTAACTGAGCCTGTGGGATTGTGCTTACCTAAACAAAACCACTGCAGTGAGGGAAAAAACAATGAATGGGTGGAGATGATCAGCCCATGCATTCCAGCAAGTGCAGTCCAGGCAGCAATGACAGCCTGAAGGTTGCAGCGGCAGCGGGATCTGCATTCCAAGTGCTCACATCTCACTGTGTGGAGCAATTTGACGTGGAGCTGCTCTTCATTTGCTGAGCCATGGCCAGTAACCAGGCCAGCCTGCAGGACGATCAGAGCAGGCACTGCAAGTTCTTGTCTTATATGTTCTACCAGGCTGTGAGAGATCACAAGCCTGTGTGGATGCTGGAAGACATGAGAACTATGGAATATTTTTACTGGGAGGAAAATGCCAGCCTAAGAACCTACTCACCTTCAGAAGCCCTTCTCTATGCAGTGGTGCATAATCACCTGCCTTATGCTCAGTATCTGCTGTCTCATTTTCCAGAGGAGGCTCTCAAGGTGCCTGGGGAACATTTCTGCTACTGCCCATCCTCTGCTCCACACTTGGCCATGGCAGTTACATATGACAGGAGAGATATCTTGGGACTGATCATCAAAATTGCACACAAGCTCCCCAGCTTGAATTCCTACATCAACAGGACCGGCTGCTTTCATCTGGAGGACGGGAAAACCCCCCTGCATCTTGCCTGTGAACTGCTGAGGTCAGAGACGGTCCTCATCCTCCTGGGGAACGGAGCTTCTCCCAGGATAGAGGACAGCAAAGGGCTTACCCCGCTGGACGTCATCCTGGAGCAGATGTGGGACTCCAAAGTCAATGTGGCATCAAAGAAGCTCTGCCTTGACTACCTCTTGCTCTTCATGCCCAACCCACAGTTTAAGATGAGGAAAGTTCTGCAGGATCATCCAGACCACTGGACAGCTTTGCTGGGGGAAGACAAATTCAACAGCCTGGTGGGGAACACACCCGCCTCTTTATACCTGCAAGCTATGCAAACTATTCTCCAGACCCTGCCCCCCTCTCATTTTCCTAAAAGCATCCAGGAACTACCTATACCTCAGGCACTAAAGCCCTTACCATCCTATGGCAAAAAGCTACCGACAAAAAATGTGGTAAATGTTTTTCCTTGACTTTATTTACTGGGTCTTGGATTTTCAAAGGCAACCTAGGGGAGCTGATCATTCATGGCCCTTTGCATTTCAGTGTGATTTTAGTACTTTTCCTGTTAGGCTATGCTGGAAAATCCAATATTTTGTGACAAGATATTAAATGTTTTTTTAACTGATTTCAGGCACGGCACTTTTAAAGGAAAAAACTGTCTTGTTTTGTTGTTTTGTTGTGCATGTGAAGGGTTAACTGTAGTTGCAACTGTGTTATGTTCGTTTTTTAGCTGTCAACTCATATCAGAGTATCCAAATTTACAATATGATAACTGTATCCTGTGCAAAGTACCTGGGCAAAAGGAACTACTTGCTCAGTGGGATTTTCAAAAGGTGTAACTACGGAACTGTGTTCTGCTAGGGTTAGGGATACCGTACTGTAGCAACAGGGCTGAAATGCCAGGTTTCCTTTCTAACAAGGAATGATCCAGTATCTTCTTGTAATAACCTAAATGTCCACGGCCATTACGGCAGAGATGCAGAGCCAGCTCTGCAGCGTGCCTGGGTTTAAGGAGTTGCTTAACAGTGAGTCACAGTGCAGAGGGTGTAAGCGCAGAGAAGGGCAGGGAGAGGACATTCTGGTAGGGGAAGACTGAGAGGTAAAAGAGCTCTCCCCCCGCACCTGGCAGTGAGAGGGTTAAAGGCAATCCTGGACCCTATTCCTCCACAGATTTGGGCAATAGGGAGGAAACCATTTTTCCTTCTGTCCGGGGGAGGGGGGGGGCGGAGGAGAGGGGGGAGTGCGATGGAAGCCCTGTTTTTCATAAATGAAATGTCATCTATGTCATTTACCCTTGGCTTGTGTTTTAGGAGTGAATATATCTCCTAAAAAGGCATTGCTCACTAACTTGATTTACCAGTGACTCTCAATGCCACCTGCACCTGCTGGTTATCCCAAGCTGGAGTACAATGTTCTGCTGTGAGAAGTTGTCCTTTGTTGTCGATTTGAGTATTTTTGCCTCCTGGCTCCAGACAGAGGATCTGATCCTGGCAAATACAAATTCCCATTGCCTGCCCCACGTGTGTTTGTGGCTTCCCAGGACTGAGCTCTCCTAGCAGGGCTGGGTCTGTCTGAGCAGGGTCCTGTGTGAGCAAGGCACAGGTCCTGCTCCCCTGGCCATGCTCAACGCAGGGCAGCAACAGCAGGGTCACTCCCTCCTGGCTCCCTTTGGGGGACACGCTTTATCTGGGACCCAGATGTAAGTGCAGCCCTCGGCTCTGTTGAGGCAGGGTAACCCCTTTCCTCTCAACCAGCAGCAAACAGATTGCTCATCTCTTTAAATAACTTCAGAGTACAAGGCCAAGGGGCACCAGGTGCTGCCTCTCCTGTGGGCACAGCCAGGCGCCATGTCCTCACGCAGACACCGGTCAGCCAAGCAGGACGGTCCTTCCCCGCATGCGCTGGGAGCGCCGCGGTGCCAGCGCTGCTCTGAGTGAAGATGCAGACTCACTCCCGCACCTTGGGAGAGGGAGAAAACGCTGGCCCAGCCCCTGAGAGCAGCAGGCAGGTGGTGAAAGAGTTAATCTTTCTGAAATCACACCTCCCTGGTGCTGCATTGCCTTCCGCCCGACCTCCCTGCCTGCCTCCTTCCCTCCCTCAGGGACTTGTGCTTCCTTCCCTGTGCTGCCTCAGCCTCCTGCTGTACTGGGGAGGGCAGAAGCAGCTGCGGGAAGCGCTGGCTAAGCCCTGGGCGAGTGGCTGGCTGGGTGGCTGGCTGCTCGCAGCCTCTGTGGCGCTCTGAGGCTGTCATGGCTCAACAAGCGAGCACAGCCCAAGGCAGATTTACACAATCAGCAGCAGCTGAGTTGCTCCTGTGCGACTCTGCATGGGCTCCACAGCCAACCCGTCTCCTCGTTGCAGCAGAGATGGTGGCTTGGGACAAAACTGGCGCTTGCTGCCCATGGCTGGCGAGAGGCAGGAGCGCAGGGCAGCTCGTAGGAGTGGGTGTCAGGCTGGTCCCCAGCGGCAATGCCCTATCTCGCAGGGCCAGAGACGGAGGAGGCTGGCGAGGGATATTATTAGCATGGTAATTAGGGCCCAGAGCAGATATTCCAAGGAAGGAGGGATCGAACAAAAGAAAGAGGGCAGGGAATTTATCAGCTGTCATCATACTGGCTCACTTCCACGAGGGTTTCCGTGCTATAAGGAGCTGCAGAAAGGATGGGATGGAGGAGAAGGCTGCTGGGATTATGAAGCAATGGAGGTGGACAGGGACTCCTGGCACTTTACAGTGACCTAGGAGCTGGAGCGACCCACTGGGAGCCACACATGGGTCTCATGAGCTTGCTTGTGAGAGCAGTGTCCCTGCTTGACAGTGAGAGCAAGGATCACTGGTAAGGTCAGTGTTTAGGCTAACAGGTAGCTTTGTAGTAGGAGGCCTCATGTGCTTGCATCCATCCCTGTGTGAGGCTGCTCTAGCTCCTGGCCAGCACAGAGGACAAAAGATCCACTCTCCTCAGGACATGCTCAAAAACCTCATGCTCTGAGGCCTACCTGTGCCTGCGATCACCACCCGGCAGAAAGCTGCTGGCTGCTTGCTGGCCAACACGCAAAACCAATGGTATTCTCCATGCAGTTTGCAACAGGCAGCAAGCCACACTGGAAAAAGCCCTCCAGGTGCCCTCACTTCTCCTTTTACTGCCTGTTTTAACAGGAGAGCAAGCACTGAATGGCCCTTGGCCACTGAGCTACTGTCTGACTGGACATGTGGTCCCGTTGGGCCAGAGTTAGGAGTGTCAGTGTTGTGCTGCTCCTGCTACAGAACGTCCTTCCCGTCCCTCTAGTGACACCAGTGAGGGGGGAGGTTTCCTTCTGCCAGAGCCAAGGGAATCTGTTCCCTGGACCAGGTTTACTTCCCCTGAAGTGACCTGCTCTTTCTTGGAGATTCTGTCTGTCTTCCTGCCCACTACAGTGATGTTACATGAGATGTAGCCAAATCTACCTCAGCTCCCTCTTGGTTGATTTTTTTTTCATTCTTTTCAAGCCAACTAATTAGCCAAAATAATTTCTAAATATTTTCCACAGTTCCTGCAATCTGACAGAGTATAGTCTTGAAAAGTTCCTACACGTGCCTGACATATGTTTGCAACTTTATTAATTAAAAGGGTGCTAGGTGCCATGTGCTCATGTTTACAGTTGGCATATAAACATTATAGATAAGTGTAGCTAGGATTTTTGTTTCTGAACATGGGAAAAAAAAAAGAGAGGGGAAAGTACCTTAGGGGAGAATGTAGGGAGTGTGGGGCCAAACTCTTCTCTGTGGTGGCCAGTGAAAGGACAAGGAGTAATGGGTGCAAGTTGAAACACAGGAAGTTCCACCTCCATGTGAGGAAGAACTTTTTTCCTGTGAGGGTGACAGAGCACTGGAACAGGCTGCCCAGAGAGGTTGTGGAGTCTCCTTCTCTGGAAATCTTCAAAACCCACCTGGATGCAGTCCTGTGCCATGTGTTCTAGGCGTCCCTGCTGGAGCAGGGGGGTTGGACTAGATGACCTCTAGAGGTCCCTTCCAACCTCAACCATTCTGTGGTTCTGTGAAAGGGAGTAGTTTGTGTTAATCCTTGGATTACAGGTTAGCTCTGCAGGGGACACTTTTTATTTCACTTTTGAGAGCAGCACTGTCAAGATCTGACTTTTATGTGTGTGTGTTACTTCAGTTTTGATGAGTAACATCTCAGTGAGCACTGTGAGTGACTGTGTGTGTACGTTGGTGCATGTGTGTGTGCGTGCACATGTATGTCTGTGTCTGTTTGTCTGCCCTCTATCTCCTGGTAAAACTCCTTACTGATTTACAATATTCATATGCAGTGATCAATGCCTTAAGAAGCAACCTTTCAGTGAAATAAGTCTGTGTCCCAAGTCAGTCTCTGTCCCAAACATCATGCTGCTAACAGGTAAGGACATATCTTCTGTCATAAAAAGGCAGAAGCTTTGCTCTTGAGATGGGCATTTTATCCCTGAACATCAAGCACAAGGGCTTCTGAGGGCCAAACCTACGGTCAACCAGCCAAGTGTTTGTGATAGTGGCCACATTTTATTCTTGATTTTTTTAATAAAATCTATTAAACATATATCCTCATCCGTCTTTTTTCTTAGTGAAAGCAGACTTCTGCTTCTGGGCTGCCAGCAACACTCAGCCACGCATGACACTTTCTAGCCCTATGCTTCTGTTTCTGCAGCGCCATTAGCAAGAAGGACAGGCCAGATTCGGGTCTCAGCTACATCTCTTTACACCTGAAGTAACACTTTTTAAGTTAATTGCACCACTCCAGGTCTCTGCTGTACAAGAAAAAAAAAAAAAAACTAAACTTGCTCTATTTGTGCACTGTTTTCTTCAAGTCTCCATAACTCTGGCTTCAGCATATAAATAAATGTGATGCATAATCCCTGAACATTTTTTTACATTTTTGGTATTTTGAATGCATGCAGATATATGCTTTCCCTCTCTCTAATACTGATGGGCATTTCCCTATTCCCAGTTTTCTTGGCTTTTGAGGGGTTCAGTGTGACAGATGCTGTTGTTCGCTATGATAAAGATCAAATGGTGCCATGCCCAAGTGCAAATGAATGTTCTCAGTAAGATATGACTTTCTTATAAAGCCATACTTTCGTAATTTTGGTTTCTCTCTCCTTTTTTTTTTTTTTAAAATCCATATAATTGTGTTAGTACATTACTTGCTGCATGATTAAGGGTAAAAAGATTGCAACATATACTGGGAATAAAATATATATACATACCCTGGTATAAATAAAATCAGCTGTGAAAATTATTTGCTCTGATTGTATTACTGTAATAAACTTGAGGTATCTTTTATCAGCCAGTTGGTCAGATACACCCACTGGTATCAATTGCTTTTGCTTGGACTGATTTTGATGCGTGGTGATTTCATTCTGACTGCTGAGCCATTACCTCCAAATCATGATCCAAAGAAGGTAATATATTTCTTCACAAACTTGCACCGGCAGGCTGTGCCCTCAGAGGATGACCCCAGGCACTGAGGTGGACCCGCGTTTCACAGATCTACCACAAGATGAAGGTGAGTCAGAGGAAAGGTCCAGCAGGGTGATAATTGTTTTTGGAGATTTTCATCTTTAGGTTTGAGTTCAGCTCAAGGTGTCTTAGGACAAAATTTTTTTCAGTGA